TATCTCATTATCAGAGGAAGGGCTAAACATAGTATGGGGTGGTTGATTGCTGAAGACAATATTTAGAGAGAGTCCAGCCTTTTATATTTTCGCGAACATAAATCAATCCGTTTATTGGATGTGGCAAGAGTTCTCCATATTTCCAAATTAGGATCATCCTCAGTAACCCAGGCTATTTACCGTATACATGTATTAAATGTAGTATATACCGAATGTGTACCGTGGGTTCCGACGATGAGTTAGGAGAGGCTAAATGGGCTCTGTTTGAAAAGATCCAGCATTTTTGAAAAGCAATTAACAGGTAAATCAAAGAAAAACCCTCTATATGTTTAATACACTGTTGCTGTACCAGATTCAATTTTGTGTGCTACTGCATAGATAACCTTTCTAAAAAGAAATTCACATTTGTAAAAGATAAATGGTTTTCTTATTTTTAGTGTCCAAAACCGCAGTTTTCTTACATTCTCGGAATTTCTAAGATCAGAGATTTATTTGTTGGTTTTTATGTCACATCAAGACTTTACAGGTCATATAATAATTTTCAAGCTTTACTGGAGAAGGAAAAAGTGTGGCAAAGGTATTATTTTTAGCACGTAGAACCGCCAATATTCTATAAGCTAGTTTGGGATGGCTATGTCAAATAATAGATTCCAAACCAAGGCACGACTCGAGCCTACACCGTTAACACCGTAAGAAGCAAGTCAGTGACCTTAAACACCCGACTTAAAAATTCCAATTTAGTTATTTGTATGAAGGTATAGCTGCCGTTTTGTTCAGTATTTCCTACTTATATGGCACATTATGATGTTTCACAGTCAGCGCTTCTTTCAGTCGATAGGCAATTTACACGCTTTGAATTTGTTATACTAATATAACATATTTTCTAAAGAAGAAAGCTGAGGCACGTTTTTGGCGAGGCTAAACATGCCTCATTTATTTATGAATTATTTGTAGATAATTCAATATAAAAATATAAACACAATCCTATCTTGCTTTTTATAGTACCTACATTTTCAGTTTGACATAAAATTGTTTTATTTTAAAAGCAGAATGCATTTTTCGCATTTTTATTTATCATATTATGTTGTTACAATTTTACAGATTCGAAACAATGTGTCTCTGTGAAAATGGCAGGCTAAAGGTTTCAACAGCACCGGCCGAAAAGGTGGAGATATAATTTCAGCATTGAACAAGGGCAGGGCAATATGTATATATACATGTGTAGCGTTGTCATACTATATGGATAGTCGGGCCTCGGTGACAAAAAATGATGAAATAACATTGTTTTTTTTTTCAGTGTCTTAACATTCGGAAGATTTATTTTATTTTAAAATGTCTTTTTACAATATTTTTTTACAAAAATTCTATGGTTAAGTAAGTGCAATTTAGCATTGGTAAGATATTTACTTGAAGGATTGATTTTCAGAACAGAAATGCAAATTATACAATGTATATAAATAATAATTATTCGTGTAAAATGTATTGCAATTTTGAATTATAATATGAATTTAGATAGATAAAGAGCTAACTTGTAAGAATATTAAATGGAATCTGACTTAAAGTAAAAAAAAAAAAATATCATTAGTGGGTGGAGTTATGTTTTATACCAGTCTAAATGATGATGTATAGATTATGCAGTGTTGCGACTTTTTGAATGTAATGAACATTGGTTGAAGTGTTTTAGATTAAATAAAGCATGTTTGTGTATTAATGTGTTACTTTGTTAATGACCATATTTCCGTAGAAAATCTGGGTTATTTAATTTCACAGATTTTTGTAATTGAAAACACGTGATTTCAAAACATGACATTTTTAGTATTTTATACTTCGAATTTTTGTGAGGACTTTTTTCCTGTAGCAACACATATAGTAGATAACAAATATGCAAATATCTTTTCTGAAGGAATTTGTTTGAGGTTGGGTCTTATTTTTGGCTAAAATGCCTAGCCTATAATATTTCCTGGCGATATGATTAAGGGACCATAATTTGGTGATTAACAGTCCACTCCACGTCAGCAGGGACATCGGGAGGTCGCCAATTTCTCATTAAAATCCCATTCTTTTCATAATAACAAACAAGGACTTGTGAAGCTACATCTTCACTCAAGGCATTTTGAACAAGGACTGAAATCTCAAGATCATTTTGTTGTTCCTGGATAAGCTGTGAATTTGACAGCGTGTCATGACCTTGATCTTTAGATCTTGGTGTAGAAAAGTCAGATATTGAACAATCTGTCTGAGTTTCAGGCAGAGTAGGAGTGAGAGAAAAAATTATTATCAAAAGACTGACCTATAACAGTATCAGCTAAGTCAATATCTGAACAATAATTGTCTTTTTGAATGGCCTTCTTAGCCATAGCTCGAGTAACTGCACATGAAGGGTAAAGGTCAGGAATTTCCTGCTCAAAGGGGTCAGGTGTCTGATTCACACAAAGAGTGTCAGTTACAAATGGATTTACCATTTCCTTATCTCCAGCCAAGTCATTACCTAGTTATAAATGAACACCTTTAAAGGGTAAGAAAGATCTTATACCTACAGCCACCGGCCGAGTTACCAAATCTGAGGACAAATAAATATTATGGAGAGGGACATTAGAAATACCACACTATACGCCCTGAATAAGGACACTAGATCCAGAAGAAGTCTTCTCAGAAAAAAGCAGTGTATCTGCTAAAATAAGAGATTGAGAAGCTCCTGTGTCTCTTTAAATTTTAGAATGTTTTTTTAAAATAGGAGTAGGTGGGCAAGTATCACCGATAAGTGACACGGAACAAAGAATGGTTATAGAATCAGACTTGGGTTCTTTGACCTTCAAAATTGCATCAATACAAGACTGAGGTTCAGACCTTGAAGTGGTAAGACCTGTTGGTTTGGCCTCATAACGTTGCTGTTGCCTCCTTTTTAAGGTATCAGAAATAAGATGTCCAGCTTTCTTGCAATAATTGCATGTAGGACGAGATAAGGGAGTATGACCTTTATGTTCATCAGATGACTTTGGTTTGGGAGTATTTGACTGTCTAGATGAGCCAGATATATTACCAGAACTGAACTTGGAATTAAAATGTGAGGGTGTGGACTTCCCTTCATTCATAAATGAGAATTTGTGGGTTAAAGAATAATCATCAGCTAGGCGGGCAGCTTCTTTTTAAGTTTCTACCTGTTTTTCATCTAAGAAAGATTTAACATCAGAGTGAATACAACGTTTAAACTCTTCAACCAACATAAGCTGTCTGAGCTTTTCATGAGTTTTATTAATTTTCTTAGATAGACACCACCCATCAAAAAGTTGTTCTTTTTCTCTTGCAAATTCGGCATGGGTTTGACCAATTTCTTTCTTAGAATTTCTGAATTTTTTGCCTGTAGGCCCCTGGTACTAACTCATAACCTTTCAGCATTAATTCTTTTACATTATCATAATTAGAGCTTTGTTCAACAGTAAATTGTGTATAGATTTCACGAGCTTTACCAATTACGCTCTGTAAAAGAAATGTCCAGCCCTCTTTTGGCCATTTTAAATTTTCAGCAACCTTTTCAAAATGAAGAAAATACTTATCAATTTCTTTTTCTTGGAAAGGTGGAACAAGCCTAATATTTTTAGTGACATCAAATTTTGAATTCATTCTATGTTCAAATTGATTTGCTCTCTCTTTGATTTCTAATTCTCTCATTCTTAACTAAAATGTCCTTTCCGTTTCTTTTTCCAACTGCCTTTCTTCCCTTTCTTTTTCCATCTGTCTTTCTTCCCTTTCTTTTTCTAACTGTCAATCTTCCCTTTCTTTTTTTCCCTTCCTTTTTTAACTCCATTTTCTCTAGTTCAAATTTAAATTGAAGTTCAAGCTCTCTTATCTTTATTTCATAGATTTCAGAGTGTTTTTCAACAATGTGAAAAGGGGGGTCTTCACCAAAAATATTTTAGTTTCTAGTTTACGCATGGAAGATTTAATTTCGGATATTTATACTTTTTTGCAAGATCGAGCATATCAGTTTTCTTAGCCAAATCTAATACCTCCTGGGAAGGTTCAGCTACAAACTTTTCTAAATCAAAAGACATGACTGCTTGCTGCTGGTTTTAAACTTAAAAGTGGTGTGTTTCAAAAATTTCAGAATTGAAAGGCACACTTGATAAAACAACTATAATATCAACTCAGATTAGTAAATACGGTAATAATTAAATGTAAAATAAACGGTAATAATTTCCAATAATGTAGACAAAAAGGAATATTCAATCCCGGACAAGCCCCCAATTTCTGTTACGAGCCAGGCGTAACGAGAAAGAAAAGCCAGCAACAAACTTGTAACTATAACAAATTTATTACAGCAAAATTATTAAAGAAAAGTTAAATAACAATTTATGTTTACAAATACCTGAAGTCAAAATAAAAATGTAAATTTCAAATGTCTAGTCTGATCCAGGAATGATCCTGTTTTGAACAGCACAGTTAAATCCAAGTTAAATCCAAGAACACTTTAGAATAAATTCCCACAATAAAATCCACAAGAATAATTTAATATATTTTAAAATCCAATAAATTACTTAATATCCAAGTTGAATAATACTCCAAGTGTATTGATGACTTAAAAGGTAACTGATGACTTAAAAGATCAAGAAAATGAAAAATGTCCCCTTATATAAAAGCTAAGAACATTCCAGATCAGTCTACAGTAATCATAATCTAGCACCTTCAACAGTAAAGAATAATCTGGAAATTTCTATCTAAATATAATGCACGAATTTTCTACAACAGTTAAGAAACTTCTACTACATACATGTTGTTTATGTTCTAAAGATAGAACAGTGATAATATTGGAAATAACTTGTCAAAGATGTACTATATACATGTTATATGTTGCATACATAACATATGTGCATGCAAAATGAGAGTTATTTGTTTCAAATAAAGTAAATAGTAATAAAAACATTTACATGGTAAGTGGCATTAATTCTGAAGCACCCCTTGTATAATCAATCTTCTTTTAGATTCATTACGCATTATTTAGTATGAACTTTTTATATATCAAAGGCTGTGAATCAGGTTGGGATAAATATGGTGACAAGTGTTATTTTTTCTCTACGACAGAAGAAAGAGCTTGGCAAGATTCAAAGGTATGTGATTTACCAAATATATAACAAATTTCTATGGTCAGTAACTGAACTTAAATCAACAAAGAATTGGTAAAGGTATCTATGTAAATGTTTCAACATTTATACTTTGGTCTAAGTTTATAAATTGTCATGCATAGGGTTAAAACAACAAAGACTGGTACAAGCTTTGGATTTGAATGCATGACGTTTAATAAACAAATGACTTATTTACATTTTTGAAATATCTATTCATGAAGTTTAACCCAGCTAACAAGTCATTATTTGTTCTTTTTTACATCTGCTGTTAAATCAATGAAGAGCTGGAGTAAGGTTTTGAATTTGAATGGTTCTTAGATAACAGGTGTATGTTCCTTTTTTTTTAAAAACAAAAAGGTGTTGAAAACAATAGTCTATGTCTATGAATATCAATACATTGTGTTCAACCAACTAAGGTCTAGTCTAAGTTTTAAAATTTATTTGTCACATATCATTGCAGTTGCTCTGTGAATCGATGAATGCAAACCTTGTCAAAGTTGACACAGACCAAGAACATACATTCATGCGTGATAAACTGATTGCACTAGGTAAGTGAAACTCATAGGTTGCGTTTAAGTTAGTCCTATAGTTTGTTCTAGGACTTGGGATACACTTAGGATTTTCTATGAAACGCAGCCCTAGATGTTTGTATTTTCCATTTAAAAGAGTAAATGTTAAATAAATTATCAAAATCAGTATAATAAAGATATCATTAGCATGAAGTGCCTTTTCAATGGAATAAATGAGGTTTGAATACCTGAAGAAAATAGATAAGATAGCCGAGAAGTAAATGAACATTTTAATGTTATGCTTTATATATTTTCTTCTTTAAACACTTTTTTTATTCTTGATGTAAACACGGGTGTGAAATATTGGTAAATGACGAACGGTTGTGATTTTTTTGTCGTATATCGTTTGCATATCGCCGCCACAATATTCCATTTTTTGGTTCTCTCATCTCTGGTCTGTTCCCAACTGAGCTGAGTTTTAAATGCAAAAAGTATTGGTTTGGAATTACAGATATTGTTTGGGCTTCATTTTTTATTAACACATCTTTGAAATTTGTATATTGATTTTCTTGCTTAAATGAGAAAGAAAATGCAAAAAGCACATTTAAATTATGCTTCATCAAAAATGTATTATTGTGTTTCTGCCAATTCAACGTGTAATGAATATATGAATTAAATATTTGAACGGAACAACAATGCGGCACCGATATCAACTTTTATATTGCTGGTAGTTGATTGCAAATGATTTCAAATTACATGATGCGCTGTTTGTTTATTGTCAAGGTGGAGACTATGCCTGGATAGGTGCTCGTTATAATGCAAGTGCCGGAGAATATCGCTGGATTGACGGATCAGAAATGAGAATAGATGGCTGGGCTCCAGGCAAACCAAACAATCAAGGCTGCATCAATTACTTACGTACTGACAATTGGCTATGGAATTCGCATGAAGACTGCCACTATACACCTTGCTCCTTCATTTGCGAAAAGAAAGCTTGTTAATAATATCTTAATCAATATTAATCATACATCATGCTTAAAAAAAGATTATAAATGACATGTTAAGACTTTCATTGATTTTTATCTATAAATGTTAAGTGTGTATATTTTGAGCATGTACCAAACTTTCGTTATAACATTTACTATTTGTACAATATATTCATAAGAACAGTATGTTCTAAATGTCCTTGTCAAGACACATGAATTATAGAAAAAACAACTTCATGACTTTTTTTAAAGATCCTGTAACACATTTTTTATGGTTTTATATCATAAATATGACGCTCAAATTAACATTTATCAATGTGGCAGTTCCAAAAAGCATTATTCATAAAGATATAAACGAATTTAACATTTCATGTAAATAAAGGGAGGCAATAAAAAATTATTTTCTTTCAAGACTAAGTCAAAATGTTAAATAAGAGATGAATATTAATATTTGCAGTACATATTTTACATATTCTTCGATGTTTGAAAATTGTTTTATAAGTATAATTATATACATATATATAAATTCATTTAAGTGTGGTATACAACCTCAATTACAACATCGTATTTATTTTTTTATATTTGCATGGAAAAGAATATTTATCATAAAATATGATGTAATAAAAACAAACAAAAAATGGTTGATGGACAAGATGCAGGCCAATAAATCGTCATATAAGAAAAATTGTTTATAGATGCACAATATTTGCTTACGCCATTTTTTTGGCATGGAAACATAAGTTTTAAATGTATCATCCTTTCTTATAAAAGAATGCTTTGTGTAAATGAAACACAATAAAGTGTTCGTTAATTTAAATACATATACTTTTTATGATTTATTCAAAATTTGATGAAATTTGCAGTCTCATTTAATGTTTACATCATTCTTTGGCATGATCATAAAGTATACGTCTATGTTTTTCAAAAAGAGATTTGGTTCATAACAAAAGTCAGTTAAATCATAAACAACGGTCATAAATAATGTTAATACATAATATATTTAAAGAATATCAGCCTGGAGAAAAAATGTACAATTATTTTGAGAAAAGTGAAAAAATACAAGAATCAAGTTATAAGTTGCATGTTATATGCGATAAATAACTGATTTGCAGTATGTTCTAATTATATTTCTACAGCGAGACTCACGAAGAAAAGGCTATATTTGCATATGTTGACCGCTTTTTTACAATTTACATGGACTGTAAGTGCCGTGTGCTTTACATTTTTGTTCTCTTATAAATACTTTTCATAAATGTTCATGAACATGTGCATGAATCGGGAGGCATGCTGCTTTAAGCGAGTATATTTCTCTACGTGTATATTTATTAAGAAGGGAAAAAAACAGTATTTGCTAAAAACAATTCATTATCAGATGTGAGCATTTTGTATCTCATACGTGCAGCTTTAATTGTTGGTTATTCATGGTTGAACTATTCTTATTGATATTGTTTTGAGGCGCCCGTGGCAGAATTGCTTTGGTCGTGGACTTTGACCGCATGCCCTTCTCACCACAGACTATATTCAGGTACAATGCATCGATTGAAGTTGAAATTTTTTTGTCCACAGACGAAATTAATATAAGTTCTGATGACGATGTATCTAAACAATTAAATGAGCGTATATCTATTACAGAAGTACGCGAAGGAATTAGGCGTTTAAAGCGTAACAAAGCTTCATGTCCAGCTGACAATTTACTAACTGAATATTTTTTTAAATGCAGCTGACATTTTAGACGGGCATTTAGCGGATTTATTTAACATTGTTTTTGATTCAGGTATCTTTCCAGAGAAATGTGCCGAAGGTTTCATTATACCACTACATAAAAAAGGTGATGTGAAAAACGTCAATGATTATCGTGGTATAACATTATTGAGTAATCCCGGTAAATTGTTTACGGGATTTTAGATGCGCGAGTCGTTAAGTGGTGTGAGAGTCCAAAAAAATTACCAGATGCGCAATTCGGTTTTAGAAAAAAATCATAGTACCGTAAATGCAATCTTTGTACTGCAGAATTTAATAGAGCAAACCTTAAACGACAAAAAAACGTCTGTGTAGCGCTTTCGTTGATCTGAAAAAGCATTTGATTCAATGAACCGTGACGCGTTGTGGTTTAAACTGTACAAAAAGGATTAAATGGTAAAATTTTAACAATGTTTAGAAACATGTACAATATTGTAAAGTCTAGTATAAAATTTAATAATGAATTTTCTGATTTTGTTGAAATCGCGTCGGGCTTACGTCAGGGGCAGACTAATTCGCCGACATTTTTTCCTTATTTATTGAATATATCGAATCGTTTTTGCAGCAAGTTAATACAACTGGCTTTACCATTAATGAAATTTGTCTTGTTATTTTGTATTTGCGGATGATTTGGTAATATGTGGCGATTCTGTAGAAGATTTACAATCGAGACTGAATTCTTTACGCGCATATTGTGAAAAATGGGATTAGAGGTAAACACTGCAAAAACCAAAGTTGTTGTTTTTAGGAAACGAGGGCCAGTTAAAAGGAGTGAACATTTCATTTACAATGATTAACAGTTGGAAATTGTTGATGATTTCAATTATTTGGGATTAACGTTGAATAACACTGGTACTTTCGCTTTAAATATAAAATGTCTAAAAGGCAAAGCACTTAGGGCGATGCACACATTGTTAAATAATATCAAAAGATATAAAATTCGTCCAGATATTTCATTGCAACTTTTTGATGCATACGTAGGATCGATATTGAATTATGGTTGTCCTATTTGGGGGTTTACTAAGTCTTGTGAATTAGAACGTATACATCTACAGTTTTGCAAAACAATCCTTGGTGAAGAACAATCGACAAGTAACGCAGCTATATATGCAGAGTTAGGTCGCTATCCTTTATATGTATTTCGTTTTGTACATATTATCAAATACTGGGTCAAGATTATCAATTCGGATAATATGTTATTAAAATCAGTTTATGCATATGTGTGTGTGTGGATGTGTGTGTGTGGGTGTGTGTGTGTGTGTGTGTGGTGCGGGTGCGCGCGCGTGTGCGCGCGTGTGTGTGTGTGTTTGGTTTGTTTACCCTCGCCACCGGAATGAACTATAAGGGCGAGCATATACTTCATTTAAAACATACTGTATTTATATGGGAACTAATGTTAATTAAGCTATAGTTTTATCGGTACATGTGTTTACGTGTGTGCCATAATTCCTATCACAAGTTCGTATAGAAGTACGTAACCAATGATAGGAATGAGATGGGATTGCTCCCATACTAAGTTAAAATTACGTGTATTTATAGAGTGAACAGCATATTTAAATTACTTAAAGTTAAAAGGGTCGAGACGTTTATAAATAGCACCGTCTCTTATAACAGATCAACTATTATAATATGCTATATTTAAAAAAGAGAAAGAAAGTCTTTTTAAAGCAGTGTCAGGAACGTAATTCCCCAATTCAATGTGGTCGATTCTTATAGGTACTATTTGATCAGATACATACACAATGGAGTGTCAAATTTATTAAAACAAGTTTGTTTTAGCATGGAAATGATAGAATTTGTCCGTTTATTGGTATATATCACCCGAACACGTGCTTTATGCACATTCATTGCCGCATTATTATAATGGTAGAAAGAGTTGGGTGTTCCATGTTAAAAAAAACTGCTCGATGATTATGGATTTAGCTCTTTTTTGTTAATCATGAAAACATAAATTTCAAGTTATTTGTAAATTTGTTCAAGAAAACAGTAACGGGTTACGCCTTACAGAAAGTATTTGGAGATATTGAGAAAAATGAAATACTGAAATCCTTGTACATACATTTAAAACGGATATCGGATTACTTGATTAAAATAAATTCGTTTATAATACGTAATAGCATAACTAGATTGCGCGTGTCGTCGCATAGTTTATTTATTGAATCTCTTAGACATGAGCGTAATCGAAAACCAAGAAATAAAAGATTATGTCATTCTGCGGTAATGACATAGAAGATGAATTTCATTTTATAATCACATGCAAAAAAATATTCTGACCTGAGAAACAAATTCATTCCAAAATATTATCTGAAAAACCCGAGCGTGTAGAAATTTATTGATTTATTAAGTTCTAAAAACAAAGCAAGTCTTGTTAAATTTGGGAAATTTTATAGCACAATATTTTCATTCTCCGTGTTTTGTTAATACAGTCCAAAGATGTAATTATATCATTGTATGACACTTTGCAACTAAATAATGTTAACTTTGATGATAACGTGATGTTTAATTAAATTTGAATGTATGTATTTTGTGACCATGTGCATTTTAAACACGTCTTATATAAATAAACTGTCTGTCTGTCTGCCTGTCTGTCTGTCTGCCGGCCTGCCTGCCTGCCTGCCTGCCTGTCTGTCTATCTTTATGAATCCCTCCTGGGAGTTTAGATTCTTTGACGAGGTTTGCCTGCACCAGTATAACAGGAAAGGTTCAATATGATAATAGTTGGTGTTACTGAAATTAAATTAAAATTAAACAAAAATAGCAAAATTAATAAACGTCATTATACATAAATGCATTTTACTTTTCATCGCCCTACGTATCAAATAATAAACAATCGAAGGAATATTTCCCTTCCATTTACATTACCTGTTTTTTCTTCCTGTTTACCAATAGTATTCGTATAAAACTCGTTTTTAAATTGATGTTTTGAAAAAATAATAAAAGGAATAAAAAACCCCATTATTATTTTTCTTTTCCCAAAGTCATTAATCTTTTCAGGGTGGAATTTTCCGGGGCCCTGGGGTTTGAAGTTTCGGATATGGTGAGCGGGAGACTTTCAAAATGTTTGTTAAAAAAATTTAAAAAAATTGTAAATCTAGCTTATCTCGTATTTTTAAAAAATTTAATTTTGGGTTTTTATCAAAATTTAAAAAATTTTTGTTAAATGTTATGTTTTCGTCTGTCAATTGTAAAAAATTTGTTTAATTTTGGAAAGTATTTTTAAATTTTTAGTCACTCGTCGAAAATTTTTTAAAAAATTTTTTTACTCCCCCTTGCATGTTCAAAAATTTACATAATTTTCATGTCATAAAAAAATTTTTCGTACAAAATATCGCAAAAATTTAAATTTTGGAATTTTGGTGTTTAATTTGGTTTTTAAACTTATTTCCTTTCAGTTATTTCACCGAGGTACTCGTCTTAAAATACTTTTTTACATGTTGAAATTCACGTAGTTTATCCGGGTTTTTCGGGGATACAATTTAAAAAAATTGACTAAATGCCTTCTTGTTTATATCAACGTCAAAACTAGGATTTTTTTTTTTTAAATTTCTGAAAAAGAAAAAAGTCGCGAGGGGAAGTTCTGGTGAGGGTTCCATAAAACTGTTACATTTTCTTCTTTTAAAAGCATTTTACAATGGCAGGCTTATTAGCTGGGCGTGTAGGAATAAAATGGAAGAAGAGTGATCTCTACGAAATCGTACATTTGTGAAACCGTTAAATAGGCGTCTCTTCTTTGCATTGTTTTACTGGGGGACCATACGCTGCTTTTCATGGAAATTACACAAATGTGTCACATAAAAATTCCATGATAACCATAACCATATGAACATATCTGCGGATGTACCTATATTTGAATTTTTACTTTTTTAAAATGTTTATATGTTTAATTCTGCTTATATATCCAACCTAGTAATGGGAGGTAATGGCTGGTGGGCGGTT